GTGGGGGGGGGGGGGGGGAGTCTGGGTCAAAGGCAGGGCAAGGACAATAGCTCACTAGGTCCAACTGGGAGATTATCATACCAGGAGGGGATTAATAGAATGACATCTGAAGTGGCGTCCAGCAGCAATAAAATGAAGTCATCAGGAGCCATTCATTGCCTCCAGGGGTGCTTCAGGAGACAGAACAGATGGGAGAGGAACAAAACTTTGGAGGAGCAGGACACAAAACTTGCCATACACGGGCTCACCAGGTGATGACATAACCATGGCAAGACCCTTACCTAAAAGGTGAGAAACATGAGATACTTACCGTTGAAGATCACAGCCATTGAGATAACCCCGCGAAGGGGGATGTTGGCACAACCTGCAGAGAAGAGAGAGAAGATATTAAGTTGAGATAAACCATGGCCAACGGGCCAAGGTGTGATGGGAAGAGAAACCGCAGTTCTGTCTGTATTCTAGCCAGTTGCTAATGTTTTACGGGGAGCACAATAAAACTAATTCACTTTTCCTTTATACATAGGGTGATTAACTGGCTTACCTCTTGTTGGGGAAATAACTTTCTCATTTTCCATCATACAAAGGTGTGGCAGGAGAGTCCCCAAGGAGAGAATTCTCCTTGATCACTTCTAACCCCACCACACTTGTTACTAATTTGAATTAAATTTACTAATTTATATCCAACCTGGAGCGGCAGTTGTAAAGTAGTTGCTGACTGAAGACTTTACCATGCCCTATGCAAGATTAGTGTCAAGTAAAGGATTAGAAAGCCATGTGGAACTCTCATTATTTAGGATGACCTTTCTGTATGACACAGATCATGGAAACTCACTCCACTAACTTGGATATCAGGTCCAGTTACTCTAGTCTTTGTGTACCTTTCAGAAAGACAAATGATATTGTTGTCTTTCCCCAGGTGATTCTTTGCACTGAATGGCAGCCTCAACCTGAAGGTCCTGGAGGCTTAGCAGGTGAGATGATCCTTTGAAAACTGCTTGGACCCTTTCCACTAAACCATTCTGACTGGATACTGTGGATGAAAGCTTCTGCTATGGCTTTTTCCTAGGCTGTGGATAAATGGGAGATTGGAACATTGGCTCGTTAAACTAATACAAAATTTCATTTTTTTTAAAGTTGAAGCATGAAGAATATGAGAAATCTGATCCCTTTTGAAAATTATATACTTACTGTTGTTTGACATGCCTGATATTCCTGTAATAGGAAAAAAGGCAGGTGGGTAGAATTTATTGATTTAAAAAAAAAAAAAAGTTTTTTCCTGCTTCTATTTCCATTTTTAATGGTCTGTTCTTATGTTGATGGTCTGTTGCATCATACTCATGCACTAGTCTTGGAGGCAACTCACATTCATGCTGTTTTCCAAGCACTGCACAAAGTTGCCAACTGGCATTTTATCATGAGGCTCACAATGTTTTGTCTATCTGAAATGCTGTGCCTCTGAAGTTGCATGAAAAAAATTATGCTGTGACTATGAAAATCATACCTTTTGTTAACTAAAATGTTTTAGCCTTTGTGGTGCCAAGCAAAGTGTGAACCCCAAGAGTTCAAAGAATAGAAGGCAAATAAAAGAAACCAAACTGAATTAATTGTTAAAATATTAATGAGGCAAGAATTCTTGTGGGTGATAGCTTTTATTGGACCAACTGCATGGTTGGGATAGACATAGATAAGCTTTTGAGTATCACAGTACCCTTCCTTATGTCTCTGGGAGAGAAGCAGACACAGCAGAACTAAGCAGCAGATAGAACAAAGACTTGTGTAAAACTCCCTTATGTAAATAAAAACAGAATACCAGGGAAATTATCAGGCTACCTGATAACGGGGAAATAACAAAACTCTTACAGGGATGTTTGTAAGTGAACGTTAAAAAATCCAGATGTTCTTCTTGGATTATCCTATCAGAAAAGTTTATCTAAAGACATTCAAACAGACGGTGTCACTTCATATGTATGGGTCACTAGTTTAGAATAGAGATGCTTTATATAATATTTTTGAAAATATGGACACATGGTTGCTACATGTGCATTGGATTCTGTTATCTTTACATATAAGTATCCTTCAATATCATTACAAGTTTAGCTGGTATATTGATTTGAACTAATGAGAGAGAAACATACTGCTAAGGGGCTTTGTTTGCACTTCGGCTACATTTTTATTTTGTAGACTGCATGTTAGGTTCTGAGCTTTGGAGAAAGCACCTATGGGAGGAAAACATCTTATATTAGAAAATTTGTTGCTGAGCTTGCACATAGGAACCCAGTTAGTGGCTTCATAACCAAAGAAGCCCAGGGTTGCCAACTGTCTATAAGTTTATGGACATCATGTAAACAAACAAAAAACAGGCCAAAATAACCTGTCTGTAAAATCCATTTTAAAAAAAAAAATCAAGCCTTCTGGAAAAACACTAAGCAACCAGAGCTTGATTGAAGCTTTGTGGTCAGAAAGAAGATGGAGGCAAACTGATATAGACACAGCCTAACACTATTTCCTGCTGTCTGAACAGCTGCACTGAACCCTACAGGGAGCCTTTGCTCAGGTCTTTGTAGACTCCTCCCTCCCCCCAGCCATGTACCACTTCTGTTAAGTCCCATCAGCTGCCTGTAATACTTCTGATTTACAGGTAGGCTTCTTTGGAGTCCGTGCTGGGACAGAGAAAGGGTCAGTGTGGGTAAAGCTAGAGAATGGAGCAGGCAGGGAAAACATGATGCAAATTGCAGTTGGGAATATCAGGGTTTGGGGGTGAGTAGAGGACCCCTTAGGTGTGGGCAGCAAGGTGTAAAACCATCGCTGCAGTCAAGCAAGGTTGTCAACCCAAGGAATCTTTTTTTAATACTACAAAATTTTTACTAGCATCTGAACTTTTTTACTATGGCTGGTGTTGGACCTCTAAATTTGAACCCAGTTCTTCTATCTGGGGACCGGCAGCAAGACAGGGCCTAGCAGAAGAGTTACATTTACATTATGTATAACATATATCAGTAAAAACATGTGTCAGTAAAAAAGTTTGTTTGTCAGTGTGATCTCTGGGGCCTTATGTGTTGCACAGCCTGCCGGGTATGTAGCCCCTCCCCTCAACTCGCCTGCCACAACTTTGATGTTAATCTATCAAGAGAAGGGGTTCAGTGGAGATCTTCCTGGGAGGGCCTCCCGACAACGGCAGTACTCACCATTGCTTGGCGTGATGTTCCACGGGGCTCCGCCTCCCCTACACCCCGTCCACTCACCAACTGGATAGGTGATCGTACCATGGTGTTTTCGGCCCCGCGGAGCTAACCCGCAGCCTGCTTCAGGTGGGGGGGGCCACGTCTGAGCGGGCTCAGCTGGCTCATGTCCCTCCAGCCTTGATGCCCCAACCTTCTTTCTCTATCTCTGATTTTTTCCTCTTTTTTTTTCTTCTGTTTTCTTCAGAAGAAATATGCTCCTGGGGAGGAGAGGGATGTGGAGCCACCTCCTTTCCCCCAGCCTCCTACAGGGGGCTCAGACGCCTCCCCTGCTCTACCTCTTTCAGGGAGCTTGAACGCTTCCCCTGCTCTGCCTCCAGAAGGGGGCTTGAAGATTTCCCCTGCCCCGCTCGCCGGGGAAATCTTCCCTGCGGTGGCCGGTACGGCTGCTGCAATTGGTCCAGCTGTTCCCCACGTGGGGAACAGCTGATTAAATAGCCGGCGCAATGCCGACTCGCGCAGCTGCGGCCACGGTCCCGGCTCCTGTGCTGATGGGCCGGCAGGAGGTAAGTTCTCCCCGCGGGTGGTCTGTTTCTGGGGTTTGGGACCCGTGGAGCTTGCCCTCACCCCTTTGAAAGCCTGTGGGGGCATCTCGCTGCCACAGTCAGTAAAAAGCTTACAGATTGCCAGTAAAAAACTTTCTTGAATTGGCAACCCTGAATTGGCTTCTGGGCTGGGTTTGGGTTTTTTGGTTGTTTGGTTTTTGTTTCACCTTCCTTGGAGGCATTGGAACATTGCTCACGGCTAAGTTTAGGGAATTTTGACTGGAGGTGCTGAATACTTCTGTGTCTGATTTTTGTCTATGGATTTTAATAGGAGCTTCCCCCCCCCCACTTCAATTTGGCCTTTAGTCTGAAGAACCAAACTCCAGCCCTGTTTTCTGGATGGGCTTATGTATACATTCCATTTTGCATACTCTGATAAATCTCATAGAATTTACTGGGACAACTCATAAGGTCTACACCCAACTCTAGGCATAAGTAATTGCAAATTCAGAGTCTGAAGCTTCAAACCAGCAAGCTGCTGAAATACAAGAGCTCTTATGAGTGCTCATGACTTCCCTGGCAGAACAGCTTGCAGAATAAGAGCTTAAAATTGCTCAGTAGTCTCCATCTTTCATGTGAAAAAGATGATTTTCAAATACACAAATAGAAATTGGGATCTTAACCCTCGTTGATTTCCCTGCTGCCCCATTCAAACTGAGTTTGACTTTGAAAGCCTTCCCCAAAATCCTTAAGATGTTTTAACAGTTATTGTCCTTTTTTCTTTATTTTACATGGAAGGACAATGAGCATCCAGCTATAAACACTTATACATGCTTGTACTCCCCGAGTTGGGCTAATAAGGTAGCTCTACCTTCATGTGGAAGACATCTGGTAATCATTTGCTTCAGGGCTTTTGCTGGTGTAACAGGGCTCCTTCAAGCCACGTTACAGGGAAGAAGGTGAAACTAGACAGGCTGGAGGCTGTGCCCCTGAAAGCAATATAAGGAAGGGCCCCAGCAGCAAAGAGGGCGGAAGAGATCTGATTTGGGAGAAAATGGGCTCCATCGGGTGTAGGAGGGGAAGAGACTGAGAGTGACAGGGATAAGCTACGGGAGACTTAGCAGGCCGTGGGGAAGGTCACCTTGGAGCTGGGCCTGTTCAGAAAGACTAGAAACTTCAAAGGGACAGGTCTGGGGAAGAAAAACCAAGGACTTGCCAATGGGAGAAAAACTCAGTGAAGATTTTCCAATGACAATACACACTACATAAAATCAAGATGTGGCAGATAATTTTATCAGGGGCACCTGCGGAGATGGGCTGGTTTGATTTTTTTTGTACCAGACATTCCACATGCAGAAATGTTGTTTGTTTAGTTTGCATAAAAAAGCATAGAAAATCAAGCACAGAAAAAAATGCGAGCATTAAGGTTGCAAAGTCATGCACTCAGAAGTTAGGAAATGCTGAAGTGAGATTGCCCATGTGATCTTATTTCAGTCTCCTTGTGTGTATGCATTATATTACACTCCTTAACTACATGAGCATATGCCATATATCCTGCTGTAGGCACAATGGGGGCACTACCATAATAACCCTCTGGGTGTAGTTAGTTTTGTCTGGGCATGACAGAGCATATGGTGTAGTTTACCTCTTATTGCTAGTTATACTGTGTTCTGTTTCAGCCTTCATCATTTTCCTGTGTAAAAAATAGCAATTAATGTTCGCCACCAATTCTAGATCCAAATCATTATTTTTCAGAACATACTAACTCACTTCTGGCACAACATTGATCAAGAAAGCTGGAGAATTATATGGTTTTTTATTTGTTTTAGTAAAATCTAGAAGAATTGTTGTACAAAAAAGAAGTGTAAGTAACTAGAATAAACAACTATTTAGGAAGATTTTTGTTGCTCTTAAATTAGTTAAATGGTTTTGGAAATCTTCAGTTTAATTGCTTTTTAAAAGCAGATAAGACAGAAGAAACTTCACTTTTTTCTTTGTTTTTTTCACCTTTTAAAAATGAACTGAATGTTTCATTTTAAAAAAGTAGCAATTTTTCATGCAGCACTTTTCTTCAAAAAAAAGAAAAGAAAAAAGCATTTCATAAGGACTTTACCACAAGGATTTGTTGTAAGTATGTTTCTACCAAATTTCATGTATTCAGATTTCTAAAATAATAAAAATGGAGTGTCTATCTAGGAATCTGGGCAGCTCATACACAATATGAATGATACACATATATATATTTTTAAATAATACATGCCTCCTTACAGGCAACAGATCTGAACCCTATACAAAACAGAGAACAAACATGTTCCTCTCTACACCTCTTCTGAGCCCTGGCAAATAGTATCGAATTTAAGATATTTGAGAAAGGGCTGTTTCTGTCTTGGGTCAATTGCTAGCAGATAAGGGATGGTATACATTGGCATTTAAAACTCTGATGTTAATGCTGTGAACACTGAACTGGGTAAAACAATTATACCTCAGTGGGTGCATCCACACGTGTGCTTTACTGTTGAGTAGACTAATCAGCTACACAAAAAAGAATCACTGTCTACACATGCACTGTTATTAGGGCAGAGTATGCAAATTAACTCTGCTGTAAGATAAGTACTGTTGGGAGATAATTTACTGCATTGAAATGGCCGTGTAGATGGTGACTGCAGATGTAAATTGGACCCAGTCAGCCCAACCAGCTGCTGTCCTGGGCGCACACATAGAAGCTATGCCCCAGAGCAGTTTACTCTGGCTCAAACTGCTCCAGTTTATTGCTCAGTAGGCACATCTACACATGAAATGAATGTGAAGCAATAAACCCTGATGCATGTCACACTGGAGTTTATTGCACCCAGGCACTGCATTTACATGTGCACCTGGGAGTGTAGCATGTTGAACCTGGTTGGAACAGCCCCGGCTGCCAGCAAGTCCAGGGGTCAGCCTGCCAGCCTGAGGCTGCTCCAACCTGTCTCAATGCGTTGTGGAGAGGCTGGCTGGGTGCTCCAGTGTGGGGCTACCCAGCAGGCAGCCCCCACACTGAAGCATCCTTATGCCCCAGCCTTGTCAGTGCCTACATGTGTGTTGCTGCAGAGTGAAAAACTCCATGGCAGGATAGTACTTGTATTTACAAATACTATCCTACTGCAGAGTTAATTAGTTAACTCCTCCCTAATAGCCCTGCATGTGTAGACATAAGATGTTTACTTTGGAGTTAACTAGTTCTGTAGTAAATGTCTTGAGTAGACATGATCTCTGGGTGCATCTACACAAGACAAATTGACTAATTAGCTGCGCAGTAAATGTCTCAGAGTCTACACGTGATCTCACTGGATCATCCGCTTTGGCCAGTATCAGATCTAGGAGCACCTTACCTCTTCTTGGCACGTAGACTTCTTGAGACAAGTAGAGTTCATCATTGTAGATGAGAAAGCTATGTGACTTATCAGATTTGGCAGACTGCTCCTCCCATGAGATGTCAGGGTAGCTGAAATCACCTCCAACCACTTGGAATTTGAACAGCCCTGATATAAGCTATTGAGAAAATAATGTCAAAGGTTTGAGTGATGTCCACAGAAATTGTCGTTTTCTAAGCTGAATATGGGCCAACTATCAGCTCATAATAACCTTACAATAACCTAATAATAATAGCCACATATGCACAGCGGGATGCATAATTTTGGGGATCTGTGATGAAATTTGTTAGATCCTAGTCGCACATCTGCTGGGGCATACAATTTGCTGCACCCCCCCACCCCACTGAGGGAGTGCTGGGGAAGCATCTTGATTATCCAGTTTCCCACACCCAGTGAGGATGCAGTGAGCTGCCCTCATACTGGTAAAATTGTGTTGCATAGACAGCTGTGGATTGAGGAGCTACCTGACCCATTGCATGCCAGCCTCATTGGCTGCTGCTCTGGGATGTGGCCAGGGCCGTGCTGGGCTCTTTCCAGCGGGGGCCTGGGTTGGGCAGTGGTGCTGGGAGGATGCAGTGGGGGGATGGGGGCTGTAGGCACCCGAAAATTTACCAACCCTCCCTCCCAGAGTTGCTGCCGCCTGGCCCAAGTGCAGTGTGGCCCAGCCCCAGTGCAGTGTGGCCCAGCCCCTTGCTGGGAAGAGCCTGGTGCTGCCTTCTGCTTTCCCCACCTCTTCCCCCCCCCCCCCAAGGGCTTGGGGGCCCGTGCCCCGGGACCCCGGTT